ATTCTGATTGGTGTGAGGTGGTTTCTCATTGTGGTTTTGGTTTGGATTTCCGTGAGAATTGTATATTCTTCTCATCCACATAGACGGGATGGATACAGAGTACCACAGGAAAGGGGGATGGAATTCCAAGGGCATCTGAGTGAAAAACAGAGTAGACAGTGATGCTAGTGATAAGGCAAAAAACAAACTACCTCCAAACCTTCGTCTCTACCATTGTAATCATATGGTAGAGGAACTTAAAGAGAAGGAAAGAAAGAACATTCCTGTGCACAGACTTGTAAGTAAAAGGGCATAAGCATATTGCTTTTTATAGCCCCTAAAAAGCCCCACAACAATTTGCTCCTCAGTATGCCATGTAGCATAGTAGGGCGCCTGGGTGACTCGGTCAGGTTAGTGTCTGCCTTCAGCTCAGGTCATGATCCCGGGGTCCTGGGATCGAGCCTGGCGTTGGGCTCCTTGCTCAGCGGGAAGCCTGCTTCTCCCTCCCTCTGCCTGCTGCTTCCCCTGCTTGTGCTCTCTCTCTCTTGCTATCTCTCTCTGTCAAATAGATAAACAAAATCTTAAGAAAAGAATATGGTAGATGGATATGTAGTCACATGGACAGATCTTAAGGCATTTGATAAATGAGAACTTGCAAAACAATGTGCATAGTACGATTCTCTTTATATAAATATGGCATTTGTGTAATTGTATGTGCTTCTCTATAGTTAATTAAAAAACAAAAAAACTGGAAGTGTATATGCCAAACTGTTAGCATTGGTTGTCACTGGGAAGAAGAAGAGTTGAGGCATAAAAGAGGGACTTTCACGTTTTTTTTTTTAAAGATTTATTTATTTATTTGAGAGAGAGAGCAGGTGGGGGCCAGGTAAGGGGCAAAGGGAGAGAGAGAATCTCAAGCAGACTCCTCACTGGGCATGGAGCCTGACGTGGGGCGCAATCTCACAACCCCGAGATCATGATCATGACCTGAGCCAAAATCAAGAATCAGACACTTAACCAACTGAGCCACCAGCAGCCCCTTTCACGTTTTACTCTTTATTAAGGTTGCCAGATTTAGCAAATGAAAATACAGGACACCTGATTAAATTTGAATTTCAGATAAATAACAAATGGAGTTTTTTGGGTTTTTTTTAAACTCTTTATTTTTTTTGTTTTTGTTTTTTAAGGTTTTATTTATTTATTTGACAGAGAGATAGAGAGAGCACAAGTAGGCAGAGCGGCAGGGAGAGGAAGAGGGAGAAGCAGCTCTCCACCGAGCGGGGAGCCTGACGCGGGGCTCAATCCCAGGACTCTGGGATCATGACCTGAGCTGAAGGCAGACGCTTAACCGACTGAGTCACCCAGGCACCCACGTTTTTTAAAACTTCTTTAAAAAGTTTTTATTTTTTCATTTATTTAAGTAATCTCTACACCCAACCTGGGGCTCGAACTCACGAGCCCCAGGTCAAGAGTCACATGCTCTTCTGACTGAGCCAGCCAGGCACCCCAACAAATGGTTTTTAAGTGTTAAGTATGTCTCATGCATAATAATAATATGGTTGTACTTATACTAAAAAATTATTTATTGTTTATCTGAAATTCAGATTCAACTGGGTGTCCTATATTTCCTCTGACAAGCCTACTCTATATATTTGTTTCATGCTCTTTAAAGGATAGTTTCATGAAATAATTGTATTATTCCAAAAAAAATAAAAAGAGAAAGAAGAAGAATTCTTGAGACAACACAAATATATGTTAAGGAAATGTTTAGTTAAGGAAATTGATTGGCCTAGAAAAGAGCAGATTACAAAGCAGCATGTAAATTAAGACTCCACTTCTTTATAAAAAGAAGAAGAAAAGCACATGTCTGCATGTACTAAAAGGCAGGAGGCTATACATAAGAATATTAACAGTAGTTCTCTCTGGTGATGAGATTGGGATGATTTAAATTTCTTGGGGCACCTGGGTGGCTCAGTTGGTTGCACTCTTGGTTTTGGCTCGGTCATGATCTCATGGGTCGTGAGATCCAGCCCCAAGTGGGGCTCTGTGCTCAGTGCAGAGTCTGGTTAAGATTCTCTCTCCCTCTCCTTCCTCTCCCCAGCTCAAATAAATAAATCTTTATAAAAAATAAATTTCTTCTTTGTGCTTTATGAAGTTCTTTCACAATGTTTATAAAGAACACACATTACTTTTGGAAAGGGAAAGCGTCGTGTGTAAAGAACACCCTTTTCCTGTGCTCCCCTGAGGAGTTGAATTTGCCCAAGTTGGGGGCACCTGGGTGGCTCAGTCGTTAAGCATCTGCCTTCAGCTCGGGTCATGATCCCAGGGTCCTGGGATCGAGCCCCGCATCAGGCTCCCTGCTCCACGGGAAGCCGGCTTCTCCCTCTCCCACTCCCCCTGCTTGTGTTCCCTCTCTCGCTGTGTCTCTCTCTGTCAAATAAATAAATAAAATCTTAAAAAAAAAAAAAAAGAATATGCCCAAGTTGTTCCTACTTTCAGCTGCTCTCAGAAGAAAGTGGTGGGCAGCACTGTGAGCCTCAGCTTCGGTTTGAAGTTTTAAAAACACATTCCATCTCGTGTCCTGCAGGCTACCTCCAAAAGCAGCCCTACTTTGGAGCCGTGGTTGGCAGGGTGGCCAACCGAATTGCCAAAGGAACATTCACGTTGGACGGGAAGGAGTATAAGCTGGCCATCAACAATGGGCCCAACAGTCTGCATGGAGGAGTCAGAGGGTTTGACAAGGTGAGTCAGGGGCACTGGACAGAGTCCTCCCCTGGCGTACTTCACAGAGAACCTTCAAACATACCATCTATTCGCCAGGCTCAATCCTCGGCCCTGCAGCAAATGCGTGGGGAGGTGATAGAGGAAAGAGGCTGATCCAGGGACTCGGGGGGAGCAGATGCACTGGCCCTGTTCCAGGACCCATCCTTCTGTAGCTCTTCGGACTGTAACAGGCAGGGGAGCCCTGAGTGAAAGGGAAAGACAGGGAATGACTTTCTCCCTGTGTCGGGATCAGGAAGTCCAGTGGACCTTGGGCGCAGCGGAAAAGTGGCTTAAAACTAGTACCTGCCGCTTACTGTACGAGGCCTTCGCACGTCTTCTCTCTCATGCTTACGAGAGCCCTGCGTTATCACCAGATGAGAAACCTGAGGGTCTGAAAGGCCATATAATTCCTAGGTTGGGCGGCCCGGCCCACAGCCCTCATTTCTACACCATAACCACTGGGGTAGGTGCCCCCGGTCCAACACACACCCCTGAAACTGCCGCTAAGCCCCCTCCCCACCACAGTGTGGTGCCACATCCAGGCGTAGCCTTACACGGAAGTGCCTCATGCCTCAAAATTACCTCAGATCCTCCCCCAGTTACCTCTTTCCACATTAAAACTCCCATTCCCCAAGTGAATCCCTGGAAAAACAGGGTCAGGACCACAAACTGATCAGACAGCTTCTCCCTGAAGTAGAAATGCCTGGCGTGCTTCCTAGCTGTGTGGGAGTCCTGAGGGTTAGCCCCCAGCGACTCTCTTACTAGTCTAATTTCAGGGAGATAATTTTGGTAGCTAACTCTTCTTTAAATTTTACCCCCCCCGCCAGTTTATTTCCTATAGAAGAGCCAGAAAATACTGGCATGTGTATGGCAGTTGAAGATCACTGTTTCTTCCTTTCTGCCTCTTTCTGCCTCCTGTCCTGTTGAAGGAAGTTGGTCACTCTCTTGCCCCTGTCTCACCAACTTCCTGTCTGTGGCCTAGAATCGCGCTGCTCCATCTCGTCCCTGTTCCTCCATGATTGGACTCCTCACACCAGGAAGGCGTGAAGGCAAGGGGTAGCCTCGGTCCTAGCAGCACTAGGGCAGAGGGTCTCCGGAATATGGCAGGGCCATGGGCAAAGCCCAGCCCGGGGAAGTTAGGCCCAGCTCTGCTCTGACAGGGATTTTCAGAAGAGCCTCAGAACAGCACCTGTTCTGGCTTAGTCCTCTTCCCTCTGTTCCACTGTGGGGTTTTCTGTGGTGTTGCTTCACATGTGTGCCCTGTAAAAACACAGCCCAGTAGTGAGTAGACACATCCTTCAGTGCACTGTGCCTCCTGAGTTCCTTCTGTGAACCGGGCAGCATAATGTGGCGGGGATTCCTGAGACTCCCCTACGGCGAGGGAGCCAGACCCTTCGATAAATAACTGTTCTAGGCCACCAGCCCCCTCATATAGATGCTAGCGGTGTGCTATAGAAACCGGGTGTGGACAGATTCATAGCAACTCGGGAGGGAGGATTGGAACCACCCTTGAAGAAAGAATAGCATTTCATTTAGTAAGTAGGTACTGGAAAAAATGGCTGTGCAGAAGCCCAGAAAGGGTGGGGGAAAGACTTGGAATGTTACCCTGGAGATATTGAAAGCTTTTGAACCGTAAGCTTGCACACAGTGACATGAGCAGTATCGGATGAACTCTGTTTCCAGTTGTATTTCATCTCAACAATTACTGAACAAATAGCTGGTTTGTAGATACGTCTTGTTCTATTTATATCAACACATTTTTTTAAAAGATGAAATTTGAATAACCTAACAGGATTAGAAATGGCATATAAGTAGGCCTAAAGATGCAAACGTGGAAATTTTTCAGGAAATTCGGAAAGTGCAGGGTCAGGGATATTCTCCCGTGAATAGAAATTGTGTGTTCCACAAAATTACACTTAATCTGATAATAATGGTTTACACAAAAAACTTTCCACTGTGTTCTTTCTCTGAAGGACAAGGACTAGGTAGCAATTGAAGAACATTTTATTTCAAATCTTTTATTCCTCAAATTTTCCATTTGGGGGATTCTTTTTTCTTTTTTTAATCATGCATATAACCGGCTTTTATATTTTAAGTGTCTTGAAAGTTCAACATTTCTAGGAGACAACTAGGGTGTAAAATTAATTTTTTACTAAGGTCAGTAAATTTGTTTCGGATACCAGCTGCTTTCACTGTAGGTAAATGCAGAGACCTCTGCTCCTGCTGGGCTCCCCTTCCTGGTAAATGTGGGATCTCTCAACATCAGTGACAGAGATCCAGGCCATGCTAGGAGCAGGTGGGCAGAGCCCGGGCTCAAAGGCCATTCCTGTGACCCACGGAAATTATTATCTTTCAAGTCTATTTGGAATGACAGTGTTTGGCCTCAACTCTTCTGTTGAAAAAAGGAGATTCAAACAAAACATTCATTGAAATGAAGATGTGGATGGTGTAGACTGCCAGGCCTGAGTTTGAATCCTAGTTCTGTCACTAATGACATGTATGACTTTAAACAAGATTTTTTTACCCCTTTAAACAATGGGCATGGCCCCGCAGCGGGCTCCATGCTCGGCCTGTAGTCTGCTTAAGACTCTCTCCCTCTTCCTCTGCTCCTCCCCCTGCTCGTGCAGGTGCGCATGTGTGCACACAAGCTCTCTCTCTCTCTCTCGCTCGCTCGCTCTCTCTATATATAATAAATAAATAAATCTTTAAAAAAAAGTTTTAAACAATGAGCATGAAGTATGAAAAGGTTCTACTCAATCCCCCTGGAATATGGGAGGTGGAAGTAGGCAAGGAAGCACCACGGAACTCAATTTGCTCATCTGTAAAATGGGGTCATAGTATTAGTTGGAGCGATTTGAAATTGCCAGTGTTCAACTGTTTTGACCTACAAAGATGGTCATTTCATTTGGTTCAACCAAATCCTTACCTTATGAAATGATTTATGTAAAGCACCAGGTCAGTGGCTGGTGAGCACCGAACAAATGGACATCTCCTGTCAGCAAAGACCTCTTGATAGTGACCTCCAGGACTCCCCAGAGGGACTGGACTCTCTGGACAGTATGTCCTCTGATCGCATGGAATAAGGAAAACAGCTCAGGATCAGACCACTGTCTTCTCAGCTGGAAGAAGCTAGGAAAAACAGTGTGTTTTTTCTGAGCCCAGCTCTCTCATCGTTAAATGAAGATAGTGGTGCCTACATTGAGTCATCTCCGAGACAGAGAGAGAGTTTCTGTGTAGTTCTTAGCAGTGTCTTGGCTCATCATGGGCACTCAGGAAATCCTGGTTGTCCCTCCCCCGTAAGGGTAATCTTGAGGACTCTAGGGCAAAGGTGAGAGGAACCACTGTGTGTGAATCAAAAATTCCTATTGCCAAAAGCAAAAAATTCTAGAAAACTTTTCTTCATATTTTTCTTGACACCCTTAGAACCATATTTTCTAGAATAAGAAGAAAACTTCAAGATCATTTTTCAACCCCTTTATGCCAGGGACTGATGCCCGACATCATACAATGAGCTAGGAACAAACCTGGCCCCCAAATCAGGACTCCTGACATGTGGGCAGAACTCTTCCTAATAGAACAAGTGCCTTCTTACTTGTTTGGAACTCTGCCCAGGGAATATAGAGAATCTTGGAGCATTTTTTATAAATATTCATAAATAGTACTTCCCTGGGAAAGAGGGGCTCATTTATTACGGTCATTTTTTAAATACCACTGGCAGATTTTGCTATATGACATTTATCAGAATGCGGCACCAAGATAAAAAAAAAAAAAGTTTTGAAGAAGGGGAAGAAGAAAACATTGTAGACACATACATATAAGTTTAAGATTTTATTTATTTATTTGAGAGAGAATGAGATAGAGAGAGAGAGCATGAGAGGGGGGAGGGTCAGAGGGAGAAGCAGACTCCCTGCCGAGCAGGGAGCCCGATGCGGGACTCGATCCTGGGACTCCAGGATCACGACCCGAGCTAAAGGCAGTCACTTAACCAACTAAGCCACCCAGGCACCCACATATAAGTTTAAAGAGAAAGAGTATGGGGAATATGAGTAGGTAAAGAGAAAGAAAAAAATTTTCTCTCAAGATCTACTTTTTTGTATAAAACAAAATTTTAGAACAATTAAAATCCAAGCTATTATTCAAACATCTTGAAGATCATATAACCATTTCTCTTCCTAGAATTAGCTAGCTTTAAATATTGAAACGTGGCATTTAGCTCGAGATTACAATGACTTAACAGCTTTGAAAACACTTTTCTAGGTCCTCTGGACCCCTCGGATGCTGTCAAATGGCGTCCAGTTCTCAAGAGTCAGTCCAGATGGTGAGGAAGGTTACCCTGGAGAGTTGAAAGTCTGGGTGACATACACGCTGGATGGTGGGGAGCTTATGATCAACTATCGAGCCCAGGCCAGTCGGACCACACCGGTCAATCTGACCAACCATTCTTATTTCAACCTGGCAGGCCAGGTAAGTGGACTTTCCTCTGCTCTCCTGCTGTAGCATAAAGGGTAACTTGCCTCTTCTCTCCTGCCATGTGCTTTGTGTGACCTGGGGAGTGGCTGGAGAGACCAACCCAGGACAGAATTACTCTTGCAATGGGGTCAACCCTGGCGTTGAGGAAAAATGGCTAGCAAAGCTGCGGACTCATAGTAGGTGCTCAATAAATGGAAGTTACAGAGAAAGATAGAATGAGTACATTGTATTACCCAGAGAATGATCTCTTTCCCACATGTTCAGACAAGGAACCAGCTATTTCAAGAACTCCCTTTCATCTCACTGTAACATGAGCTTACATTTGCTTCCTCATTCCACTCCTACCCCTAAAAGTTTCCAGTTAAGGCACTTTCCATCCTTGGAATTTTAAAAATGGGCTTGGCTCAGCCCCTTTAGACATGCTGCCAACATTTGTATGCTTCCAGCATGTAGCCCACCGTAAGAGTGCTATAGAGAGACTCCCCACTCCTCAGTAATCCCCTCTACACTACCTTATTCCCTCCTAATGGTAATATCTGAGGTTGTTGAGGAGGCTGTTACATGAGGCAGAGTAGAAAGTTTAGCTAAACTCTGTAGACTCTATCTATTACTTCCTCTTCATCTAAAAAGCTCATCATTGTCTACTATACTTGAATTGCTTTGGCATGATTTCCTACCACAAGATGATGTTCACAGCCAACTAGTAATATCTTGCATTTTTACACTCTTTTAGGAGTCTGCTGACGATGTGCTGCTTTTTTTTCCTAGGATCTTTCCAAATAGCACAAATTAATTGGTTCTTATGTAATTTCCAAAGTTCTCCCTTTAAAAATAAAGAAAGAATTCTAAACTTGCCTATTGCTTATCCTCAGAAACTTCCACCATCCTCCTTAAGATCTTAAAGACTGGGGCACCTGGGTGGCTCAGTCAGTTAAGCGTCTGCCTTCAGCTCCAGTCCTGACCCCGGGGGTCCTGGGATCAAGCTCCTTGCTCAGCAGGGAGCCTGCTTCTCCCTCCCCCTCTCCCTCTGTCTGCCGCTCCCCCTGCTGTGCTCTCTCTCTGTGTCAAATAAATAAATAAAATCTTTAAAAAAAAAAATCTTAAAGACAAACCAAAAACCAAAACCCAAACAAACATACCCAGCCATAGAGGCTCTGCAATAATGTGCATAAAGACCCTCCTTTTCTAATAAGTTCAGAAAGAAACTTGACAGAAAGAAACAATTGGTGGTTTTTTATAGGTAGTAGATCATGGTGATTTTTTACTATTTTCTACATTTTTGTATACTTAGGACATCCTATTTTATAATCTAAAGAAATAGATTCAGAAATGGAAATTATACATTAAATATGTAAGTATCTGATGATGTATTCCAATCAAGGAGACAAAATGGGAATGCAAGTTCACTATGGCTCTGTCCATTTACCAGGCAGGAGGACCCTCGCGGGTCACAGACCCACCCACAGGGGTAGTCAACGTTAACCCCCTTCTGTATACTGTCTTAGTGAGTGCAACTGGAATCCACAGCCACTAGCTTCAGGGTTGAGGATGGGAGAGGGCCATTAGCCCTTTGGGGCCCTTTGATGAGAGTGGGTGGTCACTCACCAGGCCTGGGGTCCAGGGGCCTCTGCATCTTCAGAACATCTCTTACCTTACCCAGGAAAGCATTATTATGTGTCTTAAACCCTCCCCAGGTAAATAACTCAAAACTTGATCATTTAAAGTGGTCAGCTCATCTTATGTATTTTCTTGTTGCTTGTTTCTTTCTTTTTTAAATTTAATAAGCAATATGTTTGTTCTACCTGGGGCCAAATTTTGACTCATCACTTCTAAGATTGAGTGTTGATGGCCTGAGGGGAGGAGAGAACTGTGTTTTTCAAAGAATGGAAAAGGTATATGGGTTGCAGGTTGTTTGGGCTTTGTTTGTTGTCCTCCTTCCTTCCTTATCTAACCCCGAACTGGGCAATGAAGCAGCCTGGGGGGAATTTGAGATGAAAGGCAATAGTGGGGTTCCAGCCTGACTGGAGAGGTATGTCAGCAAGCACCCGGGTTCTTCCATCTTCCCATTCTGCCTCTTCAGTGTTTTGGCTCTTGTCTTCGGGCTCATTGTCTCCTGGCCGCAAGATGGTTGTGACCCGCAGCTCCAGGAATCACGTCTTCGTGTAGTCGCACCCAGAGGCAAAAAAGAACCTATTCCTTTTTTTCATATCTCTAATGTTCCATTTTTAAGAATAAACAAAACTTTTCCCAGAGGCTCTCCAGCAGCCTTTGCCTCACAGTTCATGGGCCAGAAGTGTGTCCCATGCCCTGCCTAACCGAGTACCAGCAAGGGAATTGGACCACCCGGTGGGATTAGGGAGGGTGTCCTTTACCCCGAGCATATGACCCTAGCACAGGACGACTCAACAAGTCAGCGCTCTGCCAGGGGCAAACGAGGGTGCCAGGAAGGGAGGTGCGATGGCTTGGGGTAGTACTCGAGTGTCGGTGCTACCCTGCTCAAGGTGAGGAGAGCTGAATGAAGGCCGTCCTAGTGGCAACGCACGGAGAGGTCTGTAAAGCCCCGGGCAGGCCACAGAGGGCTTTATAAATGCTTAACGTTCTGAACTAGTAGCAGCTGAGCAAAGCTAACCAAACCCAACAGTGAACCCAGAGATGGGCCTCAAGAGCTCTTGGTGGATCAGCCTTCCTTGCCAGGTTTTCATCGGCCTAGAAAGGAAATGAATCCAGCAGGAATATTCCACCAGAATGGATCACTGAATTATTCCAGGTCAGAAGAATGGTAAAATGAAGCCTGCTTCCCTTTCATAAAGGAACATAGGTGCCACTTGGTGATCCGATGCATTAAGGGAGTGGCTCTCTCATAAATGTTCCTTTCCTTCTCCCCCAACCCAGGCTTCTTCTTAACCTCTCAGACTCATCAGTTTATTTAGTGTGTGATTGAATCATTTTCTTCCTGCCCTAGTGCTACAAAACAAACAGAAAAAAGGAAATTCCTAAGCAGCTTTATTCATAATAGTAAAAATACTGGAAACAAGCAACAGTCTACCAAATATTCATACAATGGAATACTACTCAACCTTCGGCTGAGCATTGAGTGGATAGAGCCAGGGAAACAGTCCCCAGTTCTCTTCCCTCATCTCTGCTCCCCTCAGGCCCAGAGGCCTCTTGGGTGCTGGCAGGACCCCTGAGGCATGAGGGGATGGGAGTAGGGGGAGCCCGCCAGGAGAGACCCCTTCTAGTCTGGAGCTGCTATAGGTGGTGGTGCAGAGCCCTCCCATTTTGGACCTACCTTCTCAGGTCAGAACAGGGACCAAACGAGTGACTAAGGTAGAGACTATGGGAACAGAGGAGAGGCCTCTGCCCTGGCCTTGCCTCCAGTCCCCTCCTACCCCTGCCCACGTGTACCCACCGGGAGGGCACAAGACCAGGGCAGTTCTTGAGGAACAGAGCCTCCTCGGAGTGTAATTAAAGCAATTTCTGGCCTGTTTAGACATAGATTCTCATGGTCTCTAAAATCCTGGCATTTCTCCTCAGGACGACTCCATTTGATTGTGTGGGCCTAAGTCTTTCTCACTAGAGGATCTGTTTCGGTTAACCCACAGGGATCTGCCTCCCTCTGCTTGCTTCTCAAGAACCCAGCTTAGCTTTCAGTTTAGCTTAGCTCGTAGTTTCTCAACCCGAGCACATTGACATGTTGGGTCACACAATTTCTTTGTTGCAGGGCTGTGCATTATAGGGCGTTGGGCAGAATTCCTGGCCTCTTCCCACCAGACACCAGTAGCATTACCACCTCCAGTCATGACAATCAAAAATGTCTCCAGAACATTGCCAAATTTTGCCCTACGGCAAGCTCATCCCCAGTTGAGAAGCACTAGTTGAGCTTAGTTTTGAGCATTCACCAAGCAGAAGCCCTCTCCCGGTTCCCCTTCCACGACTTCTGCTGTGAAGCTTGAAAATACAGTATTCAAATATAATCCTTTTTATCAGAAACCTGTATGTGTCCCTGCCAATTTGCAAGCAGCACAACATAGCTTTATTAACCGTCCTTCACAAACACCCTGGAAAAGGTAGAAAAGGAGCATCATTGGCCTGTTTTGCCCTGAAGGACAAGAGATTCTAGGCTAAGTGATTTCCCTGGGGCCATTCCACGAGAGCCGAAACTAGACCCCGGGCCTTCTGGCTACTGACCCGTCTTTGACTCCTCCCCCCCCCGGAAGGCAGGCTGCATCTTTAATGGAAGAGATGAGTGAGCTCCCAAATGCAGGAACTCTATTTCTGACTGCCGGGCTTCTGCCCTGTGGTACAGAGTGGATCCCCTGGGTGGGAGCTGGGCCAGAGAAGAGGGACAGGTACCCCACCTCCAAGCCTGGAGGCAAGATGTTGGCCATCCAGCACTTGTGTGTTCCGGGTCAACAACTATTGCTCTTCTGTTTGCCTAGCATGTGGGGAGAGTGGGAGAAACCCCTCTGTTAATAAGCCAAAGTTGAAAAGTCTTTCAAACCATTGATGTCTCTCTGACTTTTCACACTCGTAATTCCACTTAGACAAGAAGATGCATGCTGGGGTCACCCTCAAAAACTTCTTCCACATATATCAGTTGCTATGTTGAGGACCTATCTACCTACGCTTAAATGAACATATTAATCATCGCCATAGGTCAAATGGGATTTCTAAAGTGTTTGTCAATGCCTGAAAACATTTCTGCAGAGAAGTTAAAAAGCAAAAATACCTGGGGCACCTCGGTCACTCAGGCGGTTAAGTGTCCAGCTCTTGATTTCCGCTCAGGTCATGATCTCAGGGTCATGGGATCAAGCCCTGCATGGGTCTCCTCGCTGAGCACTGAGCGCTGAGCGTGGAATCTGCTTGGGATTCTCTCTCCCTCTCCCTCTGTCCCTCCCCCCACCCCACCTCCCAGCTCACGTGCTCTCTCTCTCTCAAATAAATAAATCTTAAAAAAAAAAAGCAAAAATACAAAATAAGACTAAGCATTAGATCTTCTTTTCTTTCTCTACCTTTCTGTCCCAGGGTTCCCCAAACATATACGACCATGAAGTCACTATAGAAGCTGATGCCTTTTTGCCTGTGGATGAAACCCTGATTCCTACAGGTTGGTGAACTTCAACGTTTTTAACGGGAATGCAGAGCTGCGGTGTGATTGGGAGAGTACCGAAACCTCATTTACCTAAATTTATTTTCTCTGTTGGCCCGCCAAATTGCCTGTAATTACCGTGATTAGTCATTTATGTGGGTTAAGGTTGGGTGGCCATATAATTAAACACCCAAGCCAGGACACTTTTGAGAGGGAAAGGGGATGCTATTAATAATTAAGCTTGGGCAACGGGGCAGTTCTAAACAAACTGGGTCAGACGGCCATCCTAGCTGAGCCTAGACGGCAAGAGTTCTCTGCTAAAATGTAAATCAGGTACTTCTTAGCACCTCAGCGGAGCTAAATTTACCTAAGCATTACCTCCCCAATGCAGGACACTGACAGAACACAACTTGGCTTTAGATGGAGGAGGAAAGGTTGGACCCCGGGGAGGACGATGCATATGTCACCTCTGAGACACAGTTGGGGGGGTGGGGTAGCATGGAGAGTCCACAGTATCAAAAGGGAAGGTGAGGTGTTACCAAACTCAAGCCTTATGGGGTGTGGGGGGGGGGCGCCTCCTAGGTTAACTGGATTGAGATCATCTTGGTTGTTATATGTGATCAAAACTACCTTAGTTCAAATAGGCAAATCCATAGCTCCGTAGAGATAGAAAGTAGATTAGGAGGTTGCCAGGGGCTGGGGACAAAGGGAATGGAGAGTGACAACTGGTACAAGGTTTTTTTGGTAGGGGGTGATGAAAAGATTCTGGAATTAGATAGTGGTGATGGTAATATCCTGTAAATAAATATACTAAACACTACTGAACTGTGTACTTTAAAAGGGTGAGTTTTGTGGTATGTGGATTATGTCTCAACTAAAAACAAGAAACAAAGAAACAAACAAACTTGTACTAGATTGCAGGTGTACTGCCATCTGCCTCCAGGGGACAGATGGATGACAGCCAGGTGGCTCGCAGGGGTGCTGTTGTTTGTGGCAGCTTATAGAAATTCACTTGAGGTAACTACCCCAAAGCAGTAGACAAATATTCTTATTTAGGTTTCATTAAAATCAGAGCTGAGGGGGCGCCTGGGTGGCTCGGTCGTTAGGCATCTCCCTTTGGCCCCGGGTCGTGATCCCGGGGTCCTGGGATCGAGCCCCGCATCGG